CTCAGCCTCCCAAAGGCGCAGGATGACAGGCTGAGCCACCGAGCCCAGCTCAAGGTGGCATTTTAACCAAGGCTTGTTGCCTATCCCATTTGATAATTTGATTGGAAGCCTCTGGATTTAATTAAGAATTCTAAATGTTTTTTATTGTATTTCCTTTCCATATTCTTCCTCTTTTTTATTTTATTTATAGAGATGGGGGAGGTCTTGCTATGATGCCCAAACTGGTCTCGAGGAATCCTCCCACCTGGGCCTCTCCAAGTGTTGGGATTACAGGCATGAGCCACTGCACCTGGCCTCTTCCTCTTTTTGTATAACAGCCTTGCCCAATGTTCCTGTGGTAAGTGTCTAAGAGCTTAGCCTCAGAGTGAATTTAATTTCCTGGGATTTCATGGATTTGTTAGGAGGAATTCTCTTAGCTACTCCTTTCCCTTTCAAAAGAGCCTGTGGTTTTCCCAACACTCCCTGGTCCCCCCACATTGTGGCTGTTTGGCCCCAGGGGAGTGGCTGGATTTTTAAGCTCTGAGCTCTGTCTGGGCCCAAGGCCAATGGGTCACAGAAGGCTCAGTCTGAAAAAAAGAAAAATGTCCTGACAGTGCAGTTCTGTCCCAAAAGTCACCTCTTTCTCCCGTTCTCCTGCTATTCCAAAGCACATCAGTGAGAGCAGAGTTCTGGCAGTGGCAAAAGGTCTCTTGCAGCATGGGGCTTTTGGAGAAGAACCATGAACGGAGAAAGAATTATACACCGTTTTCAGCATTTATTGAAAATGTTCAGTTTCTAAACTGTGTTTTGTGGTGGGAGGGATGTGTGATAGTTAATCGGAAGGCAAATGTGAATATTACCGCACAGGAATAATCCCAAGGAAAAACACAAAGAGGCATTTTTTTTTTTTTTTTGAGTTGGAGTCTCACTCTGTCACCCAGACTGGAGTGCACGCAGCCTCGACCTGCTGGGCTCCAGCGATCCTTCCACCTCAGCCTTCCAAGTAGCCGGAATTACAGGCATGCCCTACCACGCTCAGCTGATTTTTTGATTTATTGTAGAGATTAGGTCTCGCTGCCCAGGCAGGTCTCGAACCCGCGGGCTCAGGCAATCCACTCACCTCAGCCTTCCAAAGGCACGGGATTACAGGCTGAGTCACCAAGCCCGGCTACAAAGAGGTATTTCAAAAAAAAGTTTATAATTTCTCTTCCAGAAAAATAAAGCACCTGTGACTAGGAATTACAAAAATAGAAAAGATGAGCCTGTCAGTTTAAAGGGGAATGGACGAGAGTTTTACAACAAGCATTTTTTTCCCCAAAACATAAAAAGGGAAAAGAAAAACACTGAGTACGTTCTGAATCTGGAGATTTTAATAATTACCATCATTAAAACAAACTACTTCAGAATCTGAGGTTCCTGCCCAACTTAATAACTCGAAAAGAACAGGGAAGCACATGCTCCAGACTCATCTCATAGAACACAGTTGCAGATTCTGCCCACTGCTTGGCCCTTGCTTGCTTGGCTGTATAATCGGAATGAGCAGACGGCAGGCGTCAACTCAGGGCTTATTGTGTACAGGGCAGAGACTAGGAAGCAAAGGACAGATAATTTGTCCTCAAGAAACTCAACACTCAGGCTGGAAAGATGAAACACACATTTACACATTAATAATTAACATAACATGTCTTCCCTAGAAAATTTCCATAACAGTCAGGGTTTTGGAGTGGGGAAAGAAAACTAAAACACAAGGTTAAAAACAGAAAACAATCTCTTAGCCAGGTGGCTCAGGCCTGTAATCCCAACACTTTGGGAGGCAGAGGTGAGGGGACTGCCTGAGTCCACAGGTTCGAGACCAGCCTCGGCAATTAAAAAAAAAATTAACTGGGTGTGGTGGCTTATGTCTGTAGTTCCAGCTACTTGGAAGGCTGAGGCTGAAGGATCGCCTGAGCCCAGCAGGTCGAGGGTGCAGTGGCCATGAGCGTGCCATTGTACTTCAGCCTGGGTGACAGTGAGACTCCAACTCAAAAAAAAAGAAAAAGAAAAAGAAAATCTCCTGCAACATAGATTCTGGAGCCCATATTTATTTGAATGAGTAATCGACTGGCTACAAAACAAGGTTTTCTACCTGTAATACAAACGGGTTTTCAATGATGACAGAAATAGGGGCTCTGACTAGTCTTCTGGTGAAAGCAGCCCACCGCCTCACAGCTGACCCAAACTGTTCTGGAAACATGGATTTTCATTATTCATTAAAGCTATCTGAACATTTACAGTGTGCCAGGCCCTGTGCTGAGCACTGGCAATAGAGATAAAAGATCACTAAATGCCTTCAATTCAGCTGTTAAACCCAGTTTTTACTCTGAAATTATAATGCAATATGGCAAATGCAATAAAACTGAATTTTATACGCAGACCTTCGGCAGCACGGTGGGGGATGAATCCTGGCGCCACCACTGACAGCCTAAACGACATGGACCAATGATCTGATCACTCCCAAGCCCGTGTCTCCATTTTCAAAACGACGGTCATCTGAGTATCCACCTCGGATCTAGAGCGTAGTAAAGGATAGCCATGATTCATCGTTATTAGGACACCTCCGGCTGTGGGAGGAAAGACTGGTTCGATAGGTAGAAAAACAGCCCCTAAGAATGCTCAAAGAGGGCAACCCCTTGGGGTCCCCTCCCACTGTGGGAGCTTTTCTGTCCTTTCAATAAACCCTGCTTTCTCACTTTCCAGCTGTCCGTGTCCCTCATTAAAGCGCCTCGCTGTTCTCCAAAACGATGGACCACTAAATAGGAGTAACTGAAATACTTGCCCCCCCCCCCAAAAAAAAGAGTGCTCAAAGCACTTGTGAGTCAGAAGTCCCTATTTTTCTGGATGAAAACCGAATGACATCTGACAGAGAGGCAGCTTCAGTTTCCGCCTCTGAAAACGGGGCGGGGGGCCGGGCTCGGTGACTCAGCCTGTCATCCCGCGCCTTTGGGAGGCTGAGGTGAGTGGGCTGCCTGAGCCCGCGGGTTCGAGACCCACCTGGGCAGCGAGACCTCATCTCTACAATAAATCGAAAAATCAGCCGGGCGTGGTAGCGCGTGCCTGCAATTCCGGCTACTCGGAAGGCCGAGGCGGAAGGATCGCCGGAGACCGGCAGTTCGAGGCTAAGGTGGCCGGGAGCGGCCCCTGCACTCCAGTCTGGGCGACCGAGTGAGACTCCGACTCAAAAAAAGAAAAAGAAAACAAGAAAACGGGGCGGGGGTGGTAGCGGTGGTGAATCCCCTCTTGCAGCGGAAGGAGAAATTCCCTGGAAATAAAGCACCGAGCACGACAGGGCGCAGGAGCCACCCCACCCGAGCCGCGCATCGGGACACTGAGCACGATCCGGAACACCCGGCACGCGGGTCCCCGAGGTGGCCCGGACCCCGCGCGGTAGCGCCGGACGCCCGCGCCGTCCGTGTCGTGTCGGGGCCACGACGTCCCTCCTCCCGGCACGCAGGGGCACGACGGGCCGCCCAGGAGGGGGTTTCCCAGACAAACCACACACGCGTCCGTCCCTGGAGCGCTGTGCCTTCTCAGAAGGCGACACGACCCGGTCGCCCCTACGTCGTGCTCCCAGGCCAGA